CCCCAAAACCCCAAAACCCCAAAACCCCAAAACCCCAAAACCCCTACATTAATATAAAAAATTGAGTTTCAGACCTAATTCTAAAAATGGATGTTTCTGCAAAGTAGGTATCTCCAAAATTTCAGCACCCAGGGCTTCTCTCAATTGGTTTCTAACTCTTGGCCATAGCCTGAAGTACTTGCTGACAAAGCTATCTTTGTTCAGTAACATTATGCCTTATTTGGGCTATTACGACCAAGTCTGTATTATCTACATCAGGCTTTGTAAAGAGACCAAAGCTGTATATGAAGAAAATAAGAATTGTAGTGTCCACCCCTTCTGATCTGTTTAGTGATTCTTCAAGACCAGAAGAGGATCCATCCGTATTTTACAAAGGAACTTCTTGGTATTTAGTGACTTAATGGCATAGATAATGAAAGAGATCCCCGCTCAGAGAAGATTTTGATTAAAGATTTTCCTTATAGTTCTGAGAGATGCCCTCTATTTCGTGAACGTGAGATTTTGATCCTTACAATTTAGAATTTTTATGCCCACCAATCGTTTTATCAGAAAATGATACTAAAACTTGAATGAAGATAGGAGATCTAGATCCAAAGGTCACAAATTTTACGAATATTAGGTTTGATCACTTGGCAAACTACCCAATTGAGGAGAACATTCAGTTATTGAAGAAGAATCCCAAAGTCAAAGGTAAAGGAATACATATTTTAGTATCAGAAACTGAATAGATGCTTACCAATTTTTATGTTAAAATCTGACAAATGTCTGATATGCGAATAGATGACCATTTTAAGATATCAGTTAATGCAAAGTTAGATAATTATGTCACCCTTACAAGAGGAATTGCTCAGTGTGAAAAGATCACTTTTGATTACTACCAGAACCCTGATTCCATGGATATGATCTTAGACAAGCTTGAAGAAGCAGCTAAGCCTATCAGACATCTCTCCATTCCTGGTGAATGTATGGCTGAGGAGTATAAATGCACTGATATGTTGAAAGATTCTGTCAAAGAACTCACTTTGAAGTATACTCTCATGGATATTAGAAATTCGTTCAGAAAGGAATATGAAAGAGCTGTCAGCCTCTTCTCTAGAGTAGAGAAAGTTACTATATTCCTTGGCAGAGGAACAATTACTAATCTTATGTGCATCCTAAGACAAGGTAAGAGCTTTCCCTCTCTAACAAGTTTTATAGAAGAAGAGAAGAACAAGGTATGAGATCATACACCACATGTTAATAGCTTTTCTGAACAATTTTTAAACTAACCCTTTTTGTAGAAAGTCACAATAGTGAATGCCGATGGAAGGTTGATCAGCCAAGTGTTTCATTTCCAGCAATCAGAGTATCAGAATGATGCAGTAGAAGTCAAGTTCAGAGCTTCTCTGCATGGAGTAATATGCAGGCCACATACTGATAGGATTCATCTTATTCATGAAAAGAAGCCAATCGATTTGGATACTAAAAACCAAGACCATAATGAATGATATGACATAGAGTGCAGATTAAACTTCCTCCCTCAGATCGTGACTACAAGCAAAGGGACCTATTTAGAAGTAAAGGATGGCGTTGAGAAGAAAATTGGAGGATCAATAACTCTAATTACTTTTACAGCAGAAGATCTCCAGGCAAATGGCTTTGAATCTTCTGAAATTGCTGAAGGTTATATTTATATCCCTGTTGAAAATGTAAAGAAGATTTCAGTGACACCTCTTACTCATGATAAAGAAAAATCTTCAATGATAGAGGATTACGATATTCTTATTAAAAATTTGAAGGATTGTGAAATCAATCTTACAGTGATGAATCCCTCTTGAGATAGCTCAGTTTTAGAGAATCTCTCGCTCTTATCAAGTCATAAATTTGCTACCTTTAATTTAGACCTGAGATATTCAAACGAGGCCTTGTTTGAGGAAATTCTGAAGTATATTAAAGAAAGTGATATCCCAAAAAGATTGATGCTGCATGTTTTCACTCAAAGAGAGTTGACTCGTGTTTTGGAAACAATCTCTGCACTTTCAGTCAAGCCTGAATTTATTCAAATTACGATACACTGAGAAGCTATTACAAGTAAGTTACGATTCCTTAAACTTTAGAAATCCCAATCTTTGAGTTCCAGATGGCCAATCCATTTATTGATTTGGTAATCAAGTTCTTCACTTTGAGAGAGAAAACAATCACTGGTAGACAGTTGCTTAAGAAATTTTTGAAGAAGTAATCATAGCAATTTTCAATATCATGGTTGCTTAATGGGGTTTTGGGGTTTTGGGGTTTTGGGG